CAAGTGATTCACAGCTCTCTTCTGCACAGTTCTGAGGTGCCTGGGAATTCCTACCAGGGTGGTCACAGGCTTTACATGGGCTCACAACACGAACAGCAGCCTGAGCGTGAATGAGTATTATGATGAAGATGGGACACTGCTTACACAAGACAAGACTGCCCGTGTCTGGTAAGAAAACATGGCAGGGCCCAAGCAACAATTTGAGACAATACCTGGATCTATAAAGTGATAGAGGGGGAAGAGGTAAACAGCTGCAGGGAGTTGGATAGGAGGCAGCTCAGCTGAGATGCTGTCTACATGACCTGTTCTTGAGAAATCGCTGCAACCCAAACTGAAGAGCGCCCTATTACTAGGGCCCACAAAGGAAGAATGACAGCCCAGTCCAGCTGGAGAAATTCCACTGGTCTCTGCTCTCCTCAATATGCACTGAGGTCTCTCAAAGTAGCATTAATTGGCTGTGGTTTGGCTAAAACTTTACTGTACCTCAGGGCTCAGTCCCTTGGTATAAGCACGTGATGTTGTCTCTTGCAGGACCTTCCACGTTTGGAACGAATGCTGGATGGCTCGAGCGGACTTGCTACCAGAGTACAGCGGGTGGCAGGCACTGGATGCCACCTGCCAGGAAAAAAGCAAAGGTAAGGTCTCAAAGATGGGTTTGGGGGGTGGTGGGAGGAGTGGAGCGGCGAGCAAATAAAGCAGTCCAATATTCCTGGCTTCCCCAACTTCCAATGGAAGGATGCAAAAGGACAGGGACTCATCCTGTTGACTTTTAAACACCATTCATCTGTTTGGTTTGTGCAGCTCGTGTAGCTCTAGGAACTCTATCACAGCACTGCTCCCTAACGTCCTCCCAAACTAGATACTTCACCACTCCCAGAATAGGTCTAAACTAGGCATGGGTCTAGTTGGTAAAGCTCTTAACTGGGCCACATTTTCTCTTCAGGTCCATCCTTCTGTGGGCCAGCCCCTGTTCAAGCCATCAAGGAAGGGGACACTGAAGTTGATTATGATGTCTGCTACTTCTTTGCCGCCATCAATGCCAAGTGCCAGGTCTGGATACAAAAAGCAGATGACACCCCCAGGCCAGCTCTCAGTAGCACAAAGTACACTGGCAACAACATCAGCACCAAGAGTGTAGGCAGTGAACGCTGTGAGGATATCACACACAACTACAAGTATCCTGAAGGTACGGGGTAAGCAAGTGGTTGAACACATTCGCTACCAGTGTTATGAGCAAAGAGTAAAGGACTAGAGATCAGAGCCATACCAGAGCATTAGGGTTATCCACTTCTCACTAATTCCCTTTCCGGAATGACACAAGAGCACCTGACTCTTGCTGTCTACAGAAGTAAAACACAGGTCATACCCCAAATTTCATCCCACTTAATTACATTAACCAGGTCTCCAGAAGGCCAGGCCTTTCTTCACCAGGCACTTTCCTGTGAGGAAAACCTTCTTTCCTGATTTCTGTTAACTGTACACTCTGTACATTCACCTCCCATTACCAGTGTAATATATAGAGAGTATTTCAGCTTCCAGCTTCCTGAAAAGGACTGTTGAGCTCCCAGATACCGTCTAAATCCCCCTTCAGAATCCATTACTGAGTGCTGTTTCCCTGACCCAATCCTACCATCTCATCTTAGCCTATGGCATGTTGTCTCCTTGGGGGCAGTCCGTCACAAGAGAAATAGTACTGTGCCATGGCTACTGCTGTAGTTAAAAGAGGCTACTGCCTCTTTTACTCTGACAGATGTTAGCACCAAGGTGCTTTAAAAACTATGACAAATCTTTACAAGTGGAATCTTTCAGGTACATCCAATGAATGTCCTGTCAGCTGAAATTCTTGAGCTGCTCCAACCAGAAGCACAATAGGGTATCTCTCTATGCCCTTAGGAACAGTTATCTACAGTACTGCCAGGATAATTTAATGCCATCCTTCTGCATTTATTGCTTCACATTAGTAAACAGGAAAAAAATACTAAAATATGTGCTCCCCTTTTTGTTACAGGTTCTCTTCAGGAAAAAGAAATACTTGACAAAGTCTACAGAAAGATAAAGAAACTTGAGACAACCAGCAGCAAAGCACAATTTAGCTCCATTCCTACTGCCCTTGAAGAGCCAGTTAACCTTTTCATCCACCTCCAGTCAAAGAGTTCTCTGCTACTGGGACAAGATGTTCCACTTTCCATCGAAGTGTTTAACCACAGTGGTAAAGAAAAGGATACTCACCTGGTAGTTGGGGCCCAGTCTCTACATTATAATGGTGTGCCCATTACCCAACTTTGGAAGGAGGAATTTCATTTTATCCTCAAAAGCAATGAAGGTAAGGACTTTACTGGGTGCATAGTTAGAAAAGTATATCTAGTCCTCTCACTTCAGGAAAAAACTACTTAGCCACAAGTTTACAAAAGGTTGGCTGAATAGTTGATTTTAGGGTGATTGAAATAAAACACTTTGTCAACATCACCTTAGAAATTTTGAATCTGCAAATCCTGTTGGGATCACTTAAGTTTTTAAATTATGCAGTTTTTAGTACAATGTTGGGCACTAAATACTCCTAGGTGCCATGCAGGCCAAGACCAGACTGTACTTATCATCTGCATTGTCATCTGTATTTCACCACTCTGTATTCCAGCTAACAACCTGCAGGTCTTTGTGCCTTACTCACGGTACAGAAAAGAGTTGGGAGAGAACCATCTGCTTAGGCTGACTGCCATGCTGAGAGATGAGGACTCCTACATATACTTTGAACAGGAAGAGATCAGCATTTGTGATCCCCCTCTCACTATTGAGGTGAGATCGGTATCATTCTGTTACTGCAGTAGTGAGGAAACAGCTTTCATAGTCATAAGCAGCAAAAAAATTCTGCTGGGTTGGTGGCTCTCCTCATACTGTCTTCTTTCAAAGCACTGAGACAACAGTTTGGGAAAGGTGAGTTGTGCCACACTTGTATACGGTACTCCCACTTCTACCTTGTCTATGCGTGAACATAAGGAAATCCTAATGATTCCTAACTCACTCACCAGTCTGGAAATCAGAAGCTGCAGAAGCAAACTACAGCAGGAGACTAGTTGAGAAGAAAATAAGCTGGACTTTGCCTCTTCTGGCAACAGGCAGCTCAGGCTGAGACCTCTGGCACCAAAAAATCATTTATCTCCCTTTAATCATAGAAGAATCTTTTCCCTTCTCTCAGTTTTCAGCTCATTTCCTTCTTTCAACAGTTTCCAGAAAACATGGTACAGTATCAGCCAAGCACAGCAAAGATCAGCCTCCTGAACCCTCTCATCGAACCCTTGGAGAAGTGCATGATAGTGGTTGCAGGGCGAGGGCTCATTTACAGACAAAGGAAGTACAGGTAAGTGCAGACTGATTGATCTAAGAACGGTAAATGGAAAAAGAGACACAATGCAAGCTAGAGAAACCCTTGCACAGCAAAGGCTGTCCCCAAAAATAAGCGGGTAACAATGTGGCAGGAAGAGACTGCTACAGCATGAAAGTCCAAGGCATCCCATCCTTTATTTACAGATAATACAGAAGATTTTCACACTGAAAAGGAGAAAAGCCAGATAACAGAACTTTCAACAGATGTGTAATACATAAGTTGAAGCCAGTATAACATTTGTGAAAGCTTCAACCCCAAAGGCCTAGACAGCAGAAGGAAAGCCCGCTGCCAACACAAAGGGTAACAAGAGAAGTACCACAAGACTTAGGCAGAAATACACATTAAATAAGACAACAGTTATAGGTCACTGAAATGAGCTATGAAATTCAGTAATTATTTGCTGTTGAGAAATCAATTGCTTTTTAGCTAGCCACTTGAACAACCATAAGTGTGGTAAAACTTTACTGTTTGTGACGTATCTTTCCACCCATTACCCACTGTCAGCAATAAAGACAGTCCCTGGGTACAATTTTAAGAGTGTCTTCCCCTTCTCTACTGAAGAACCAGGCAAACTTTACTTAGCTAAGAGTCATCCAAAAAGGCACACTCTCCTTCACGTGAAAAAACTACCACATTTCTCCCAAGAAGCTGCATTAGGACAAAGTAACCTTAGATGCCTCCATGGGGAGTTCAACCCCCTTGTTTTATCTCCTTCCCAAACTACTGCCAGATCACAATTCCCTTGTGGTAGTTTAGATAACTGCTAGCCGCCTTCTATTTCTATTTTTTTTCTTTCGTTTTTTTGGCACCACACTCCTGTCTAGTAAATGTATCTCCTGGAAACCAGAAATACAAAGAGGTGCACTTCCTGTATAATCCCTTCTTGCCTTTCAGGCTGGGCTCTGTGCAACCTAAAAGCATTCAACAGCTGCAAATTACATTCACCCCCACCCATGCAGGGCTCAGAAGACTCACTGCATATCTTACCTGCCTTCAACTCCAGAACCTGAAGAGTTACCAAACTATCGACATTGCAGCTGCCTGATGCACAATTTACAACAGGTCCTGCTGTCCTGTTTACAAAAGAGTAGTCATGATCTGTGTCCTCACCTTAGGCAAGCATAGATGTTAAGTTTAATTAAAGTTATATTTAAAACCATGTCTGATTATTTGTACAAAGTCAACTCTCCCATCTGCCACTACGCCCACTCTCCAGTTTTGTAAGTTGAACCTTACTGTGACAAAGATGGGCTAAATGCTCAAGCAAATGCTGCATGTCTCCCCATGCATACGTGCTGAACCCATCACTGCTTAGCCACCTGTGGCAAAAAAAGGATATCCTAGAATTTTAAAGTGATGACAGATATAGCATTTCTCGAGAGATACACTCTTATCCCCCTACAGATCCTTATCGTTGGTAAAGTAGTAAATAGTATTTTCTACTGCTTTCTGGGTAAATAGAAAAGAGAAAGACAATTCACTCTTCTCTAAGGTTAGACAGGAAATAGCAGCAGTGCTGCACGTTTTTTAATGGTTCATCGGGCTGCTTGCAAAAGAAGCAAGACCTTTATCTTTTGTACATATCCTTTGCCACCTGAAAACACATGAAGCCACTCATGCAAATCTAGCAGTATTTTATTGTTCTTTCAACCCCATAGTAGTTGTAATGTCTGAACAACTGGGCACATTTACAACATTAAGATGCAGCACCGCACCATCCCAGGAATCCAAGCAAAATTACACCTTCTGCCATGGCAAAGAGCAACTTCCTGGGAAAGTTTTACCAAGTGGCAGTAAAGCTCTCTCCTAAAAACATTGTTCTCATCATTCTCCCTATAGCTGGAGAACAGTGAGATTCACTGGAAAAGCATATGCCAGGGCCAGTGGCAGCAACACATGTAGACATGGAAGAGCTAAAGTTGACCTTGTGTGAAGTTCTTGATTTTGTTCATGTTGTGATCTACTGCACCAGTTAGAAACTGCACCCAGCCTTCCTCTGATGGTGGACATACATGGCTTGTCCTGCAAAAGTGGAGGATATTCATTAGAAAAGCCTCCTGGGTGTCTTATACCTATGCATCCAGACAGCATGTGGGTACTGTGAAGTGCTGAATTACCACAGCATTACAACAGGACTGTGGGAAGAACCCACATCCATGTCTCTAGTCCCAAACTTTAACACATATGTGTGGGTGTCTTCAGCGGGAACCACTTTCATCCCTACCATCCTTTTCTCACTCCCATCTCTTTGTGACTTGATAACATCATAACTATTCCAAAATGCCAGTATTTACTGTCTAGAAACAAGTCATCTTTGACAGTAGGCAGAAAGATATCAACCTTCACAGCAGGGAACACAGACTTATAAAACTGTAAGTCATACTCACTTTGCAATCTCTAGAACTTTCTTTAATACTGAGGCCAACTTAGCAGCCTAGAAAGAAACAAAATGGAAATAAAGTAAGTCAAACGTGGAAAAAAGGGGCTCAGCAGTACTGGAAAAGGCAGGTGCGTGCGAATGCCCAAAGCAACCAAGAATGAGTAAAATTGCCACAGATCCTGATGCTGAAGGAAGCTATCTATCATTGCCATGCTGGGAGTGTCTCCCAACCTACTGCTGGCTGGGACAGGTGAAAATAAAGACGGGCAGTTTTTTAAAGTATACGTTAAAATGCTTTTTTCTTTAAGAAGATAAGCCTATTAGAAATTGGTAACTGATATTAAGGCATGAAGTTACAAGTGACTGTAATGAAATTTTCCCCCCCAAATCAAGCCACTGGCCAAAGGTATGAAACCAGAATTAAGAATAAAAAATCTCAGATATGAGAAGATAAGTACTTTATGATGGAAGGAAACCCTGGAAGTCATCTAGTACAACCACCTGCTCAAAACAAGGCCTACCTCAAAGTTCAGTCAGGTTGCTTAGAGCCTTGCCCAGTCAAGTTTTGAGTATTGCCAAAGATGGAGATTCCACTGCTTCTCTGAGCAGTTTGTTTTAGTGCTTAACCATACTCACTGTGAGACTTTTTAATTTGTATTTTTAATTTAGATAACTTTATTTGAGCAAGTCTACATTACCTAAGGAAGAAAGCAGACATGCAGTACATTGGCAGCCTTAGACCTCACCTTCCTCTCAGGTGCTGTCACTGGACATCTCTATGGATTATAGTTCAGAGCGAAAGCTCAAGTGGCCATGCTCTTCCCTGAAGTAGTAAAGATGAAGAAGGCATTTCCACCTGATAGAAGCTAAGTATGCAAGAACCAAAGGGGACTCTTCATCCCTAAGAACTTATTACTGAGACAGTCGCTAACACCCACCACTCCCTGACAGCCACATAATCCCTCCAATTCAATTTCTGCCACTTCTCTACAGCTAAGTGTGGGCAACCCACATGTAGGCTGCAGATACTTACATTGAGTCGCACAGCCAGCTGGTTCATAGGTGGATACATGCTTAGTGCCAGCTCATCAACACTGGAATAGAAGAGAGGAGAGCAATGGAAGAAAGGTCCTGATAGCACAACTCATGGATCCTGGTCAAAACCTACAAGTCAGGAACAGCAGTGCATGACAAGGAGACAACATCAGTCATACCCGTGGGATGCTTCTCACTGCCTTCTCAGACACCTGAGTGCCACTCTCACCTTAGAGTGAGACATGGCCACAGCTCCACCCTAAGCTGCAACATATGTTCTTCTCCTAACCTGCACAACTCTCAACAGCCTATGCCATAATAGTCTTCCCACCACACCTGCTTCCACCACCTGCTCACAGCTGCAGTATCATAAAGGTTTTTCTAATCCATTCTCTAGACCGCAAGAAAGATAGGGACTGTTCTGGAGCAAAAAGCAGCATGGGGAGAGACCTGCTTACCTTGGACTGATCTCATTAGCAATGTCTGCAAGATCATCCAGCTGAGCGATCTGCTCTGCAGAATCAGCTTTGCCATAAGCCTTCACTACACCCAAGACCTTCTTCAGGCAAGCTTTAGAAGCCTTCATTAATCCCATGCAGGAACTAAGCAGCTTCCGGTCAGCTTCTGACCAATATGTATCTCTGTTGCCTCGAAAGCCCAGCTCTTCATCTTCCATGATGTCACTGTAGGGGTCTTGCCCTTCCACCAGAGCCTGAGAACATAGATGCACTGAAAACCCAGAGCCTAACATCAATTCCAGCAATACCCAGGAAGAAAGAAAACATAATCTAGAAATCATAAAAAATAATTTATGGAAGAATCTCTCTCCAATCAGCATCTCAGTTTCGAGATTCTGTTAATCCTAGCAGGACTGGATTAAGAAAAAATAATCCCCCACTCCAATTCAACAGAGCAAACAGCAAGAACCGGGCAAACAGTGCCATTCTTACATCAACCTAAATCGCCCTGCCACCCCATCTACCCATCCCCTCCCCCCACAATTCAGGACATGGCTTTATTGAAGCCTTATATACAGTAAACCAGGCTTGAGTTTAAAAACTTATTAAGATCCAAGCATAATACAATAATCTAGCTCATACCAAAACAAATTTAAACCAAAGCCTGTATATAAAACAATCCCTGTGTTCCATCACTGAACCATCACTGCAATCCATCACTGCAGGTTCCTCAAAGGCTTAGGGACTTCCTTACATGTTCCATCTCCTCCAGAGCATCCTTGACCACACCTAGACATGCAGACAGAGCTGACACAACTGCTGCCTGGTTATCTGCAAAAGGAAAAGAATGAAAACCGTGGCATATTAAAATCAGCTTGCAACAGCGTTCGTCTAGGTTTGCGATTATTAGATCTTGAGATTATAGGATCAAACTTTTTGCAGAGCGTAGAGCTGCACTATTGCCATGCAAAGAATCTGGCCTGGCTTCCAACCTTATACATTTCAAAAACAGTTCAGTTTCGCAGAATGAGTGAGCCTTCACTGTACTAGCTAGAACACTCCTTGCAAGAGCTATTGATATTCCAACACAACACATCCTAGTTCTGTTGTTCTGCATATACAATACTCACCTCGTGGCAGGTTGGATACTCGCTCACATGCCTCCCACACACCACCAGTTGATATAAGCTGTTCTTGAGACAAGCTGAAACAAAACAAAGCCCCCCGAAGTCAGACTTAATAACACCATTCTGCTAGACTGTGTTTTTATTTTCTGCACCAAAGATGATGCACACTAGTAGAAGCTCTGCTGGAAAGATGTCACCAACCAGCTTGTCACTAGTATCTCATGTATGTGTAAAGCAGTAAGTGCTGGCTCCTACTGAGTTTAATTAAGTGTTGGAACAACAAGCAGGAACCTTTTACAAAGGTGCTTAGGCATATTATTTACCTTTCAGAATCTGTCTGTATTAGAGATTGCTGACCTCTGCCTTACAGTGGCGTGTAATGCCTAGAGACAAAGTAATCAATAATGGTCCAATAACTAGCTTTACAAAGTTGTGCAATTGTTGCACATGACAGTTCACTCCAAAGGCAAAAACTGCCAAACAGTGCAAACGCTCTCCAGCACCTTCATGGGAATTCTGCTCCCAGAATCTTTCCTTGCCACAGACAGGATGAAAATCTATTCTCCACGAAGGTAAATTTACCTGACTCAGTCACTGGGACAAGAGGGTGCTGTCAGGACCATGAGTATATTCCACCCTCCTAGGAGTTTAGTTTGCTCAGCTGAAGAGTTTAGTTGGCTAACTACAAGGTCAGCTCCTTTGCTGATAGGAGGTATTGTGAAGAAAGAAGTGAGGGCCAGCCCTTCCTTACCATAGAAGATGCTTTTACCCTGACATTCTTTCACTGGGCCCTGTTTGTGCTACATCACAGCTGTGTAGCAGTTATGTCTGCACCCAGTCTCATACCCCCATGATTCTGGCGTAGATCCTGACCCACTGATTTGTCCTTCCTGCCTTGACCTCAGACCGACTCATTGTAATGGACATGCTGGGCAATCACTGGATGGCATCTGATGCTGGTTACTCTCTCTGGACCTGACCCTGATGCTGACTTGCTGTCCTGACTTTCCAGCTTGACCTCATCGCTATGGGCTTGTCTAGTGATCCAGTCTCCGAGCTGAACCTCATTACCCTCACCAGCACTCTGCTCACTCAGATACTGGGGAACAGTGCTTTTCTTGATTAGGCACTGCCTCTTCCTGCCTCATAACAATGCTCTGCTTCTGCCTCCCCCCTTCCCTTAGGAAGCAGTCTACACTTGCTGCTTCTGAAAAAGTATACTTGTAACTTTTTTCTTCTTTTTTTCCTGGAGAATTACTACCTCTCGAACGGAGCACTGAGAATTGTTTCTGTGAGTTGGATCATTCCTTCCACAACTTCAGTGGTAGCCTCTCGTACCATCTTCCGAAGAGTAGTACCTGGTTGAGATTGAGAAAGAGCAAGAAAGTTGCCACAAAGTCAGCACCGACAGAAAGCAACTACCGAAGATGAACACACAGATTGTTCCGTTTCTGTGGATATATAGAGGTTGTATAAATGAAGTTACAGGTATTCTGAAGGAAGCAATGTGTTTCCCAGTTCCCAAAGGACTTTGAGCATTCATATTTCTAAAGCGTTGAGGTCCGTGTCCAACCAACTATACAACTTCCTACATTATCACTCTTTCACAGATGGAAACCTGCTGTAGACGACAGACAAGTGGTTCACTCATAAACATGTTGCAAGTCTACAGAATAGCTGATAATGGACCTACTTGCTCATGATAACTCGCTTTCCTACAGATGTCTGATCTCATATTAGGCTTTGAAATACTGGGTTTCTTTATATAGTGGTGAAAGAATCACCACCCTACATAGTGGTGACTGCTGTCACTATCTCACCTTGGCCCTTAGGAAGCCAGTAGTACACTGTGGCAACTGCAAGAATGGCATTTTGGACATCTTCACTCAGCTTCCGGCAATCCTGAAAATGGATAGGAAAAGGATTAACCATAAATAGCTGCACCGCATTTAGAAAGTCTCACAAGCAATCACTTAGATTCAAATTGCTTTGAGAAAAGGGAAGCATAGTAACAGCCATCTTGCTTGACAAACAAATACAGCACAACAAGAAGACCCAGTAAGCAAGCTATACATCATAAGCCACCTCATGATTTGGCAATAAAACACACCCTGGTGTGATGCTCATGTATCACAGAGGAAGAAGTAGCTTAGACGATTATTCTGAACTGGAGGTCTTTTTTTTTTTTTTTTCTCCCCCAAACATAAGTGTGATGAACCTCCCTCAAGAAACAGCAAAAATTTTGCATATTTTTTGTTACATCTAAGGTATGTATTCTCCAACATCCTGTCTCTATTGGCAACCAGCTATAGATATTAAAGAAAAGAATGTAAGAATATTTCTATTTGGTACATCTCCACAACTTACAAAAATTAGTTGGCTGAGGAATTCTTCAATTGGATTAATACACTCTACAATGCATAGCCCACACCAACCTCCTTTGTTTGAGATGAACCAAATGATTTTTAGTCAAGCGAACCAATAGACGCCTGAAACTTGTCACACACACTGCAACTTCACTCTATGGGGGCTTTCACTCACCTCTGCAGAAGTCAGGAGAGGCCCTGAGAATGCCAGACTCAGCTTTGTAGCTTCCTGTGATGTTACTTTGAACGTCTGACCTAGAAAGGATTTAATGGGAGCAAAAGAATAGAAAGTAACTTGGGTAAAAGGTAAAAGAACAGAGCAGGTAGATAAGCAACATCTCTGATGTTACATTGTCCTACTGCTTGATTACCATTTCTTGCTTCCAAGCAACAAAGACATGAACTAAAGCCCATTACAGAAAAAGAAAAATTCCATGGTGTATTTGTGCCATGCACATTGCACGTGTCTTATGTCTGGTTTTTTCCTAGTCTTTTTTCTTAGCTGGTAGCGATATCCACAACCACATTTTGTGTCCCGGTCCATGACACCTTCACCAGGATGTGCTGTGAGGCTTTAAAAATCTAGCTGTGACACCTGTTCGATAGCGGCCGCTGCTCTGCCAACGCCAACACCCTGGAGCGGAGGGCAAGTGCAAAAGCCCTGACTGGAAACCTGCCGGGGATCTCCCTTGCAAGTCAGAGCCCTGACACGCACCGGCACCGTGGATACCCGCCTCCGCCA